TCAGCGACCCTGGGCGCTGCAGGCTGCTGACCACTGACCCACCGCGCCACAGGCTGCCGACGCCGGCACCATCTACCAGTGTTAGATTAATTTGTTCATATACACAAATAAATGGATTATTTGTGTGGGGAGCTGAGGGGCGAACCCACGGCCCTTATGTATGCTACCAAAGGCTGCAACCTCTGACCTACACATCCAAAAATATGGGGTTTTTTTATACTTTATTTTTCCCGGTACCAGGAATTGAACTCACGACCTTGTGCTTGCTGTGCCAAAAATACAGTTTTAAAGCAAAAGTATTAGTAAAGTAGCAAATGTTAAAAATAATAACACAATAATGGAGCAGCTTCTGTTAAACAGATCCTGCTACACTGCTTCGGGGTGTATTGATTGGTGTAGGTCTGGTGTAGGTCTCCAAATATGGCAAAATATTTGTATTATTTTATACTCTTAGCACATCAGTATATGGAAGTTCCTCTCTAACATTTGGTGTGATCTAGTGACATGTAGTAATATTTCACCAACTGATTTTTTATTTATGATCGGTTGACTGGTTGGTGCTAGGGATTGAACCTGGACCTTTGCTCTAAGCTACATCTCCAGCCCTTTTATTATTTTTTATTTTGAGACAGGGTCTCAATCAGTTGCTAAGTTGTACCAGATGGGCTGAAACTTGCAGTCTTCCTGCCTCAGGCTCATAGAGTGATAACATTACAAGTGTATTCTACTATGTCCAATTACAATTTTAATTTTCAAGGCAAGTTTTTTTGGTGGGGGGCAGTTGAGCACAGCATATCACAAATCCTCAAGAATTCTTTTGTTTGAGACAGGGTCTCGCTTTATAGTTTAGGCTGGCCTTGAACTGGGGGACTCTGATTCAAGGGAATAATAACTACCCGCACACAGGTGCGTTCTCAAGAACAAGGATGTTTCCCAGGCCTGTCCTTGCACCAAAGTAGCTGGGCTTTTGGCCTCCTCCTGCTCTTCTGGGTTGGGTTCTAAGCCTTCTTTGATCCTCATGATCCCTTTCTTTCTTCACCTTCCCTGGCCGCAGTGGAATCCCAGGCGGGAGCAATGCGGGACGCTTTCCACAGAGGCAGACCTCATCCCTGGGTTCTCCCTTGGGTGGATATGGCCCGAGGGCGTCTCTGCCACAGAGCTGCTTTGCTGGCATGAGCAGTATGCAGCAGTGCCGCTCGCTGTGTGAGCTCAGACTGAGCGTGTCCTCTGAACCGCGGTTTGCCCGGGAGGCAGGTGTGCAGGGTACAGTCGAGCACCTTTTGCGCTCACGGGGTGTGTCTGGGCGCACAGGAGCACACCACACTTCCGTTGTCTCCTGTGCCCTTCCCTTATGGCTCTCGGACCCTCTGTGGGAAGTCTAGGAGAACAGAGGTCCACTCTACAGGGAAAGAGCTTTTGGTGTGTGCTAGGAATTGGGTTGTTTGTTTGTTCATTTATTTTGTTTGGCTTTTTTTTTAACTGGAGATTGAACTATGCCCCTAGCTCTTATTTTTTTATTTTGAGACAGATTCTTGCCAAATTACTAGGTTGGCCAAGCTTGAAATTGTAATCCTCCTGCCTCAGCCTCCTGCCTCAGCCATTATGCCACCATGTCTGGCTGTACTCGGAATTCTTTGAGGAGCCTGGCTGGCCACCCCTGTCTCATGCTATGAGGTGGCTTAGTTGGCCGTTCGTTTACTCACTATGGATTTGTTATGTTTCCTTTTTTATCCTAGAATTGCATTCCCACATTTTTTTTTCTTTGAGACAGGGTCTCACTATACAGCGCAGTCTGGCCTTGAATTTGCCATCCTCCTGAATGTCCTCTGGAGTGCTGGGATTATAGGCACGTCCCACCACATCTGGCTTACTCCTGTTTCTTCAACACCATTGTTTACATAGAATTCACATACCACTCAGTACACTGAACGTGTGTAATTTAGTGTCTCTTTGGTGTATTCACATAGTTGTGCCTTTGTCACTACGTCCAACTATTATTACCTCAAACAAAAACCCTATACTCCTTAGCAATCCCTCCCTCTTTACTCCTGGCTCTTGGCAACCTCTAATCCACTCTGTCTCTATGGATTTGCCTATTTGAAACATTTCATATAAGTGGAATCATAGAACGTGGGATATTTTGTATCTGGCTTCTTTCATTTAGCATAATGTTTCCAAGGTTTAGCCATGCTGTAACATGTATCAGTACTCTGTTCTTTTTATGACCAAATCTTTTTTTTTTTTTTTTTTTTTTTGGTCTTTTTGAGACAGGGTCTCACTATACCATTCAAGCTGACCTTGAGCTCACTTACGTAGCCCAGGCTGGTCTCAGACTTGCAACGATCCTCCTGCCTCAGCCTCCTTAGTGCTGGGATTACAGGCGTGCACCACCACACCCAGCCTCAAATAATGTTTGAGAGTTTGAATATACCACATTTTTTTCATTCATTCACTGGTGGACATTTAGATTGTTTTCACTTTTTGCCTGGTAGGAAGAATGCTAGCCAGGTATGGTTGCGCATACCTATAATCCCAGATATCCCTGTAATCCCAAACTTGCTACTCACAAGTTTGAGGCCAGCCTGACCAACTTAGTGAAACCCTGTCTCAAATACAGTAAAATGGAACTCAGTAGTAGAGTATGTGTCTGGCATGGCTCTGCATGGCCCTGGGTTCAATTCCCAGTACTAGGGAAACAAGACAAAACACTGCTGTAAATACTCATGTACAAGTTTTTGTGGGGACATATGATTTTCTCTTCGGTATTTACCTAGGTAGGAGTGGATCATACAAGTATCTCAACTGTGTGAAGAACGCCTCAACTGTTTTCCTAAGTGGTTGCACCATTTCACTTCCCACTGGAGGTGCATAACAATTCCAATTACTCGACATTCTCACCAGCATTTGTTATTACCTTTTTATTATGGCCACCCTAGTGGGAATCAAGTGGTATCTCATGTGGTTTTGATTAGCATTCTTTTCCTCCTTCCTTCCTTTTTTTTTTAAACAGAGTTTCCCTATGTAGTTCAGGCTGGCCTTAATCTCACTTTATACCCAGACTGACCTCGAACTCACAGGGATCCTCCTGCTTTAGCCTCCCAAGTGCTGGGATTATAGGTGTGCACCACCATGCTTAGGTGATTTGCATTTCTGTATAATTAATGATATTGAATTTCTTTTCTTTTCTTTTTTGTATTTTTGAGACAGGGTCTTACTGTGCAGTTCATGCTGGCCTTTAGCTCACTTTTAGCCCAGGCTGGTCTCAAACTCACAACAATCGTCCTTTCTCAGCTTCCTGAGCGCTGGCATTGCAGGCTTGCGCCACCCTGGCTTGAATATCTTTTCATGTGCTTATTGGCCTTTTTTGTATATGATTTAGTGAAAACCTATCAGATCCTTTGCCCTTTTGTGTGTATGTGGTGCTGGGGATTGAACTCAGGGCCTTGTGCATGCAAGACAAAAACTCTACCACTGAGCCGCATCCCTAACCTCCTCTGCCTATTTTTATTTTTTTATTTTTTGGTCTTTTTGAGACACAGTCTCACTATGCAGTTGAGGCTGGCCTTGAGCTCACTTTGTAGCCCAAGCTGGTCTCAAACTCACAATGATTCTCCTGCCTCAGCCTTCCAAGTGTTGGGATTACAGGTGTGTGCCACCACGCCCGGCTTGCCAATATTTAAAATGGGTTATTTTTCTAAGTATTGAATTGTAGAGATTATTTTTATACTCCAACTACAAGCCGCTCATCAAATACGTGATTTGTAAAAATTTTCTTTCATTCACTTTTTCTTCATAATGTTCTTTAAAGCATGGTAGCTTTTATTTTTGATTTTTGCTGTTGTTGTTGGTACCGGCAATCAAACTCGGGACCTTGTGCTTGCCAGGCAGGCGCTGAGCCACTGAGCTATAGCTTCGGCTACTTTTGATTTTAATAATGTCTGTGACTTACGATTGTGAGGGAAACGGGCAGAAATGATGAGGGACAGGCTCAGAGCTAAGTTCCCACTCCCATTGTTTAGCGTCCACGAATTGACTTGCAGTAGCCACGCTTAACGACACAAAATTAACTCAATGCACGTAAGGGAGGTCCCGATTTGTCAATAGTTTAGGTCCATATAAACAGCCTGAATTCGGGGACACGGGCTGCTGAAGCTTTCTGGAGAGCATCCCTAATGCAGCGTGTAGATGGGAAGACGTTGCAGCAAGCAGCGCAGGCTCTAAGGCTGGAGAGACGCGGCGGGTTGCTTGGGAAGATACACTTTGCCCCAGGTCTGTCTGAATCCATGACTGTTGTAGTATTGTCTGTCCTGGGATGCTGCAAAGCTAATCATGGAAGGGTTGGCCTCAAGGTTGTGTTCCTGCAGGCTGAGAGTGGTGGCTTGTTGGAAACAGAGCTTGAACCCTGCTAGCCAGGGGGCCTCCTCAGGCGCCCATCCATTGCTAGGCGGGAAGTCAGACGGGAAGAGAATCCCCTACTTGTACTTAGAAATGCAGAAGCATTGTCAGCCCAGGGGGAACTGTAGAAATCTGTTGGCACCTTTGAGAAATCTCTACTCAGGAAATTCAGGGAAGAGAGCAGCTTCTGCTGACATCTGGTCTTTCTGGGACTCTGGTAGTTTTTATTTATGAAACGATGCTTCTGTCTGCAAATGGATGATTTTGTAACAGGCTTTCTCCCTTTGAGAGGTACCGAGGCTCCTAGTTTTGCTTTCTGGCATCTCAGTGTCACTCTGCAGAGACGGGAAGCCTATCTGTGCCAGAAGCAGTCGGGGGGATAATTGCCAGCCAGAAAGTGAAACACCCGTCTCTTTGCACTTCATTACACTCCCTCCTTCCCCTCATCCCCCTCAGTCTAGGCAGGGAAAGCTTGCAATTAGCAGTCATTACCCTGGAAGACCACCTTGTGAATTGCTCAGGAGAGAGCGCCGGTGAGCGATGGTGCCTGACGTACTCGAGTCTCCGTCCCAGCCTCCTAAGCCTTGCTTTCTCTGTCTTCTCAGCTGCCCAACATGTTCGGTGACCTTCGATCCACGTTTATTGCCTTGATGATTGGCTCCTACGCCTCCTCAGCAGTCACCTTCCCAGGAATCAAGGTGAGGGTGTGGCCAGTGGGTTTCCAGCACGTTTACTCTGTACCTGCGTCTCCTCCAACCCTCTCTGACAAAGACAGAAGTCGTTGTTGGCACTGAGGGTGGCTTCTGTCTACCCGCCTCCCCCAGGGCAGGATGCACCTGGGCACCATAAGCAAGAGAAAGAAAAGTACCAGACCGTGTGGGACAGGAGCGCGTGACCCCAGGCTGGGGGTCGGCTCACCTCCGGTCCTGAGCACCCCTTCCCCTTGGCCCGTTGTTGCTGGGCTCTGCTCCCAGTTAGCCTAAAGCACTACTCTCAGCCAAGTTGGCTCCGCTGTCTTCCTCCCAGGCAGGATTCTGAGCGTGTGGAAGTCACGGAGGGTTAGCGCGGAGCAGAGATCTCGCAGCCCACAGCCCGGTGCCCTCCCCAAAGCTCATTGCTCTGTTCGCTTCAGCAGCTGCTGCTCCCTTCCGGGCACCAGCACCAGGTCAAGGCCCCCTCTGCAGGGGTGGGAGAGGATGCTGTTGCTGAGGAGGGCAAGTCACAGGTGTGGACTGGTCACCAGGAATTGGCGTAGGAGGCAGGAACCGGGGGCCAGCCGTCCCTTGGACTTTCTCAGATACCCTCGCTCCTGAGTGGTGGAGAGGAGCCTACAAATTCCTCCTCTTCTTTTCAGTGTCTTAACCGCTGGCCTCCCTGGCCAGCTGAGTGGCTGTGTGCCAGGACGTGGGGGCCCTTGTGTAGGTGCTGGAAATAAATGGTGCTCCCGACAGCAGCTGCTACTTAGGGCTCAGCAGGCCGGCCGTGTGCTCAGCGCTCTTTGTAAGGACGCGTGCAGGTGTCGTGCCCATTTCACAGGCAGCAAAGCCAGGTGCATTGGCGTGTGCCGCTGTATTTGGGGAGCTCGTGCTTGGTGTACTTGTTAGGGCACTAGAGAGACTTGTGTGGACAAGACCAGCAGGTCCTAGGGAGCTGGACTAGCAGTAGACAAGCAAATGAATCAGGAAACATGATCATCTCAGCCAGGTCTGTATCCTGTGAGCCAGTGAGGCGGATGTGGCAGTGATGGGGTCAGCCGACCGCCCCTCCAAGATGGTGACACTTGGTCCAAGTGGGAGGCACAAAGGGTTAATGCCATGCCAATAATCCCAGACACACTGGGATTATTAGGGTGCAGGGTTTCTGATGACCAGGCAGCCAGGCTGACGGCACCGTGTCTCCTCACACAGCTCAGCACGGTGGGGCAGCAGCTGCCGGGTGCCCCACGCCCGCTCTAACTGTGTCTTTTGTTCCTCCCACCCCACCCCACTGTGCCCCTCAGCTCATCTACGACGCGGGTGCCTCCTTCATCATCATCCTAGTGGTCTGGGCCGGCTGTTCCGGGCTGGTGTTCCTCAACTGCTTCTTTAACTGGCCCCTGGAGCCCTTCCCGGGCCCCGAGGACATGGACTACTCGTAAGTAGACTTGCTCGCGTCCCTCACCCTCGCCAGCCAGGGTCTCAGGGCAGCGGCAGACACTCTCCTATGGCGTCCAGGGTGAAGATCAAGTTCAGCTGGCTGGGCTTCGACCACAAGATCACTGGGAAGCAGTTCTACAAGCAGGTGACCACAGTGGGACGCCGCCTGAGCGTGGGCAGCTCCATGCGGAGTGCCAAGGAGCAAGCTGCGCTGCAGGAGGGCCACAAGCTGTGCCTGTCCACCGTCGACCTGGAGGTGAAGTGCCAGCCAGACACCGCAGGTACCCGCCTTGGAGCCCTCACGGTCCAGGCCTGCCGGAGACATCCGCGGGGGCGTCTGCAGCCACACCCCGAGTGGTCAGGGGAGCTGATAATCCAGACCTGGAGGAGACAGCCCCAGTGTCCTCCTAACTGGGGCCGGTGCTGGCCGCTGCTCTGTGGGTGTCATCACACTAAATTCCCACTTCATCCCAAAAGGGGAGGTGGCACCACCTGCCCTATTTACAGATGAGCACACGAAATCAAAGCTCAGAGAGCTGAGACAGTGGTGGCAAACCTGTGGCACCTGTGCCGCAGCCAGCTATTCATTACCACTGAAAGTCCTAAAAGGTTTGCCATCACTAGGTTAGGGGCTTTGCCCAGCTCCAACACCACGAACCCCACTGGGGCCTGCTCCTTGGTCCCCCCACCATCCGGGGAGTGCTTTGGTTTTTTGTTTGTTTTTCCGGTACCGGGAATCGAACTCACGACCTCATGCTTGCCAGGCAGGCGCTGTGCCGCGGAGCTAAATCCCCAGGGCAGTGCTTTGGTCAGGAGTTCGGGTCCCCGTTGGCGGGGGGCCGTGTGCCCAGCCCTGAGCCGCACCCTCTCCCTGCAGCGGCACCCTCCTTCATGCACAGCGTGTTCAGCCCCATCCTGCTGCTCAGCCTGGTCACCATGTGCGTCACGCAGCTGCGGCTCATCTTCTACATGGGGGCCATGAACAGCATGCTCGAGTACCTGGTCAGCGGTGACCAGAAGACAGGTAGGTGTCCCTCAAACTCAGTGAACGAGGGAGGGGGCCCAGCGTGCCAGTCACTCCCACTGGCTGGAGGCAGGCCCCTGGGCACCGGCTGGAACGCATTAGGCGGAGCCAGACCCGCAGGGCTGCGGAGCAGCAGCATCTGGGACACTGTTTGCTTGTCTGTTTCATCATAGCCGGCCGTGACTGTTCTTTCATGTCCCCGTCAGGGTTTCCTGGTTTGGGAGGGAGCGAAGGACTAAAATAGCTGCGTGTGTTGAGGGGGGTATGAGTGTTCCCGGGCTGGAGTGGGAGGGCCGAGGGTGTGTCTGTAAATGAAATACTGCGCCGAGCAGCGTCCTCCACCCGAGCACTCGTGGAAAGACTGCGGACCCGGCCCCACACCAGGTCCCCGGGGACCCTGGGGCCACAGCTGAGGACGGGTGTCCTGGCTGGAGACTCCCCAGTAGGCTCTGTGTCCTGGACTGTGAAATGAAGCCTCCCCGGGAGTGTGTGATCCAGTTGAGGCTTGTTAACTCCGGGAAACAGAACTGATAACCCACACGAAAACAGGGAGGAAGGTCTTCAGCTGACTAGAGATTTCGCTCCTACCACGAAAGTCAGAACTTCCCCAGGGCCCGAGCTGAGTCAGCTCTAGTCATCCCGAGCGGGACAAACACATTCGGCAAATCCTTTTTATTGGCAGCCTCGCTGGCGTGCAACTTTCCTTTGTTGGTTTACTTGTTTTTACCAAGGGGAAGACACTGTAGGCTTTGTAAGGAACCAAAGCAGTCTTTAACAGGGATAAGAAAGCCTGTTTTAACAACAGGAAAAGACAGCAAAGGGGAAACCCAATAATGCTGGTCCTGCAGTGAAAATGAGAGGCTAGTGGGGAGGCAAAGTGGAGAAATGTTGAATATTATGCAGAAATTCATAATGTGCCGGGGGCGGTGGTACAAGGGGTAGGTGGATCCCAGCTACTCAGGACTCTGACACAGGAGGATCAAAAGTTCAAGGCGGGCCCGGTATATAGCTCAGCAGCACAAGCGCCTGCCTGGCAAGCGCAAGGTCCTAAGTTCGATTCCCGGTACCAAAAAAAAAAAGGTTCAAGGCCACCCTAGGCAATTTAGTAAGACCCTTTTCAGAATAAAAAATATAGTAGCCAGGCATGGTGGCACACACCTGTAAACCCAACACTCTGCAGGCTTCAGGGAGCCAGCCTGGGCTACAAAGTGAGTTCAAGGCCAGCCTGGACTGAACTGCATAGGGAAACCCTGTCTCAAAAAGACCAAATAAATAAATACAGGCTAGTACAACTGCCAAAAAAAAAAATTCTTCTTTTCTTTGTTTTTGTTTTGCTTTGTTTTTTTGAGACAGAGTCTGGCTATGCAATTCAGGCTGGCCTAGATTTACTATGTAGCTCAGGCTGGCCTTAAACTCAAGGTGATCCCCCTCCTCCCCCGGTGCTAGGATTACATGTGTGCACCACTGCCTCTGGCAAATCTTTTCTTTTTCTTTTTCTTTTTTTTCTTTTTTTTTTTGAGACAGGGTTTTGCTATACAGTTGAGGCTGGTTTTGAACTCACTTTGTAGCCCAGGCTGGCTTCGAACTCGCAATGATCCTCCTGCCTCAGCCTCCCCAGTGCTGAGATTACAGGCATGCACCACCACACCCGGTTAAATCCTCCTTTCTTAAAAAATAAAATAAAAATTACAACAAGAAAGGGCTGGAGGTGTAGTTTAGTGGTAGAGTTCCCTGGATTTGATCCCCAGTAGTGGGCAGGGTGGGGGAGGGGGGCCCAAACGTGAACGCAGGAGAGGCCCTCAGGTGCCCTACCGGAAAGAATAACTGGCTTACCTTTATTTAGTCTAAGGATGTTCACCCAAATTTCTGCCACAGGAATCCTTTTTAAATTTTTTTTATTTGTTTGCTTGAGGAGGTGTCTTGCAATGCTGCCCAGGCTGATCCCGAACTCCTGGGCTCAAGAGAGCCTTTCATCTTAGCTTCCTGAGTAACTAGGACTACGGATATGTGCTGCCATGCCCAGGAGAACCCTTTTTAAGTTAACACACATGAAATTCTGGTGGACATATTTAGGGAAAAGCTGATCAATCTTGTGTAAACACCAGAGAGCTGGAGGCGCCGAGGCGCGCAAAGGAGCCAGTCCCTGACCCTTGCAAGGCTGCCTGCTGCTGTTGAGTCCTAGACTTTAATAAATCAAGCTGTCTGAGAAATCTTTTGTTGCCCAAGAGGAATTTTTTTCAACTATATCCTACATTCAAAAAGTCTGACTGGGCATGGTGGCGCACACCTCTAATCCCAGCACTCAGGAGGCTGAGGCAGGAGGGTCGTTGGGAGTTTGAGACCAGCCTGGGCTACGAAGTGAGCTCAAGGGCAGCCTGAACTACATAGCAAGACCCTGTCTCAAAAAGACAAAAAACAAAAAAACAGTCTACCTGGTGAGGTGGCACACACCTGTAACCCCAGCTATTTAGGAGGCTGAGGCAGGAGGATCACAAGTTTTAAGCCAGCCTGGGCAACTTAGTGGAGCCCTGTCTTAAAATAAAATTAAAAACAATAAAAGGGCTGGAGAGGTAGCTCAGTGGGAGAGTGCTTGCCTGGCATATGTGAGGCCCTGGGTTCCACCTCCAGTATCAGCAAAAAAAGAAAAAAAAAAGTGTAGAGGAAACCAGGCCAGGAAGTTTGGTCTGTGGCAGACAGGACATGGTTTTCCCCCTCTGGTACCCTGTATCCACAGCCGTTTTCCCAGAAGAGCTACTGTGGGGTCAGGGAAAAGCAGGGTAGAGGGAGCGCTCTGGCTGTTTGGGGAAGACCCGTGCTGTCAGATGGTTTGTCTGGGTGTGCTGGCCAAAGCCTTTGACCTTTCCTTCTCGCTGAGTGTGGCAGGAGGTGACTGACAGAGTAGCATTCCCACAAGACCACATGGTAGTGAGAGATGCTGATTCTGCCAGGCCTCCCGCTCAGCCTGCTATTTCCCCGTCACGGTGACGGCCAGGGGCGCAGGCCTGACTCACCAGCCTGCTGCGATGAAGCACCAGCAGACAGGAAAACGTCAGCAGGCACCTGGGCTGAGCCCTCTCCCTCATCTGCTCCCAGGAGCCCGACCACTCTGGGTAGAAAGTGGTGTGTGTGCCGGCCGCGGGCTAGCCGGCCTCCTCGCCCCATCTGCCTGTAATGGCCGTTGCCATATCTACCACTAACCTCTCTCTTTCTGCTTCTCTGCTTTTGCTTTCTGGATCCAGTGATGGCCACGGGTAAGCAGGAGGGGGTGTTGTCGAGGAGTATTTCCACCCTTCTCCCAGCCAGTCCGCTTAACCCTGAGACTTTTCATCTTGAATTCCCAGTGTCCCTCTTGGCTGGAACGGTGGGGGTGGGGACAGGGCAAGGGACTCCAGCCATTTTCCTGAAACCCTTACGTAAATTTTAGACTTGTTGAAGATGGAAGCCCTTAGGTCAGGTTCCTCAGAAGTGGTGCCTGCCTGGTATATTTCTAGCAGCAGAAAACTAACAGCCAATCACACACACAAAGCCTCTGTCGTGGGCATTGGTAATTTTGTGGTTCCCAAGTCATAGCAACTTCCTGGAACTTCGGGGAGGGGGGTGGTTTCCATTGTGACATACTGGATTTCATTAACAATTTCTGGGAAACAGGCAGAGGATTTGGAGCAGAAAATTGGGTGACCTGCCCCTTGCTCCAGCTCTGATTTCCAAGGTGAAGGTCTGTGCGCTCCCCCCAAGACCTGCAGTGACACGGGGGCTCTGGGGCAGACCCCAGAAGGGCCTCTTGGCCCCTTCATAGTCTGCCCAGCTTGTCCTCCAGAGCCCTGTGCCAGGAGCCTCTGTGACGCACCTTCTTCCTCCCCAGTTGCCCTCTACACCTCCATCTTCGGCGCACTCCAGCTGCTCTGCCTGCTGACAGCGCCTGTCATCGGCTACGTCATGGACTGGAGGCTGAAGGAGTGCGAAGATACCTCTGAGGAGCCTGAGGAGAAAGATGCCACCCAGTACGTAGGCAGAGCCCGGGTCCTGCTCCCAGCCCCTGGAGAACGACCCCTGAGTTACATGTTAGGCAGACAGGCTGGGTGGGCTTGATCTTACAGGCAGCAGGGCGACCAAGTCCAGCTCCGCACTACACAGTCAGGGCTCTCCCCTTTTGTGGAAATTCTTTAAATTAGAGAGGCACTCGGACGGAAACGGGACAAACCAGAGGAAAAAGCCATGCAGCCCCAGGGTGGCCCTCGGATCCTTGGCATGGGCGGTACTGTGGGTCGTCTTAGCATCACTTACCTACGGGGTTTATTCCACTCCGTGTGAAGAGTAAGCTGCTACAACCAGATGTGTTAATGGGTTTGTTGATGATTATAAGATGAAACAGGGCTGGAGCCCTACTTTATGGAAGGGCTGGGATCCAAGATCAGAGGATGAGTTAACTGCCATCTTCTGTGACTACACGTTAATATAATAAAGCTGCTATTTACTGTATTAGGCCCAGTGCCAAGCACTTAATACACAATGCCTCAGCTAAGCCTCACAGCACAGCAAAGAGATGCAGACTAGTGTTGTGCCCACTCTACAGGTGCAGGAACTGAAGTTAAGCGTTTGACTCATCTGCCTGAGGTCCCATAGGTAGACACTGGTGGGACTGGGACACCCTGTACATCTCGAAGCACTTGGCATTCGTTCTTGGGTGCTGTGTGATCTTCCATGGGCTGTCGGTGTGGGTGGTGAAGCTCGAATCAGCAGTAGTTAATTGACAAGGGAATGATTACAGAGACTGCCCTGTTATCTAGGTCCGGTCGTACAGCAAGGAGGTTATTTATGCCCACCCCTGTTCCATCTGCTGAATATTTATTTACCTTTTCCTCTCCTGCCCCTCAAGGGGACCCACTCCCTTATCTGCCTTACTGACTGGCTTGTTACCAGTGTCCTGCAAGATTTGGGTGAACTGGAAGCCAATGGCAAAGTGAGGCTTTCCCATATCTTTTTTTTTTTTCGTCTTTTTGAGACAGGGTCTCGCTGTGCAGTTTAGGCTGGCCGTGAGCTCACTTTGTAGCCCAGGCTGGCCTCAAACTCACAACAATCCTCCTGCCTCAGCCTCCCAAGTGCTGGGATTACAGGCATGCACCACCATGCCCGGCGAGCCCACATCCTAACTTGGCACATTCTGCTCTTTGCTCCCCATCGTCTGAGCTCATTTTCCTTCACTGAGCAGTGCAGTGTTGAGGGCTGGTTTCTGGTGTCAGAGATCTTCTCATTCAGTGTTTGCTCAGGAAGGTGGACCGGGTAGAGTCCTCTGTACCTATCTCATCCTGGCTTAGTCCCCAAGATGCGCATGGGTGGGCGGGCAGCCTTACACCAGCCCATATCCTGTGGCTCTGAGGCCTGGCTTCTTGGGAGGGTCCCCCTACCTCCAGGAAGCCACCCAGCTTCTGTGCGTGCTCTGTCTCCACAGAGGCGAGAAAAAGAAGCGGGACCGACAGATCCAGAAGATCGCCAATGCTATGCGGGCCTTCGCCTTTACAAACCTGCTGCTTGTGGGCTTTGGGGTGACCTGCCTCATTCCCAATCTGCCACTACAGGTATGTTTCGGGGGAGAAAGAGGCCAGCTGGGGAATGAGACAACAGGAAGTGTGTGGTATGCCATGGAAGCCATCAACAAAGCCAGTGTGACTGCATTCATTCCGTTTAACCAGCCAGCCACCGCTCTTTACCTGCGGCCTGTTACCTGCCAGCGGTGCTCGAAGCAGGATGAGCTGTAAGGAATAGGTGGTTTTCCGCAGTTCTTCTCCATAAAGGCACACCGTTCTTGCTCTTGAGAGACCTTGCATAGCACAAGCACTGTCCTCCCAGGACTGTGTGCGGTAGTTACGTGTTCACTTGCTTTGCATTGGCTCAAACAGCTGGAACCTCATGTCCAAAGAAGTCTGGTATTCTGTGATATTGGTGTGAGCACCCCGCCCCCTGAGGTCCCATAGATAGACACTGGTGGGACTGGGACTCCCTGTCCCATAGGAGTGCCCATAGGAGGTAGGTATGCTGGTACATACCTGTAAGCCCGGCACTCTTGGAAGCTCAGGCAGGAGGATCAAAAATTCAAGCCAACCCTGGGCAATTTAGCCTTGATTCAAGAAAAGAATGCCCACAGCCCTCTACCCTGCAGTGGGCTGGAGAGGCTGGAGAAAGACTGTGATCATGGCTTGTGATCTAGGTTCAAAGGCTTAATTCCTTTGCATAAGATTGCTGATGCTTGTGAGAGATTGTAAGGAAGACTTTGTCACGCGCCTGGCTCCACTCTTTGGTCTGTGAGTATCCTAGTACTGTAGTAGATTTTGGCCCAGACCCCAAGTTTACACACCCTGAAAGGATACAAGTGCTAGCACTGCTTCCAGATGGGTGTGGCCTGAGTCCAGATGGTATCTCAGGACAAGCCCACGGGGAAGGCTGCAGAGCCTCCCTGTTTACAGGTGGCCAGGTGTTGAGCTGCGTTGAGCACACAGGTATGCACACCCACAGGGTCTGTTGTGTACGCAGCAACACTGTGCATGCAGGGAGTGGTGGGAGACTTGCACCAATTCCAGGTGGGAAGGCCATTGCTTCCCAGGTATCCCCCCGGCCTCCGGGGCTGCCTTTCTGAAGACTGGCAGACCCTCTCCCTGGTCGTCTTGGCCAGTCAAGTAATGCTCCGTGGGGAACAGCCACCTGCTTGTTGTTCTGTTGTGTTCTCACTGGAGAAAAAGTTAGAACAAGGCAGCGAGGAACGTGGAGTGGAGAGGGGTCTGCACGAGGATGGGCATACATGGGTGTGCACAGCTGGACACAGAGCTTCAACCCTGGCTAGAACGGCCGCTGCCCCCTCCACCATCCACACTCCTGAGAGCAGGTCCTTAGCTGCTGAGCAAGGTGGCAGAGCTGTGTACAGAAGACCCAGAGGACGGTAGCACAGGGTTCTGGTGGCAAATTCTGGGCCTCTCGGGGATTTGGGCCTCTCAGGGATCTCTAACTACCAAGGGCTCCCAGAGCTTGCTAAGCCCGCAGAGACTGTCCCAGAAAGGGACCCTCCTGGAGACCACAGGGGGCCTTTGCTAGAGAGGTGTGAGGGGAAGCCCCCTGCCCAGAGGCCCTGGACAACCAGCCAGGCAGTCTCTGGGTGAGTCCTTGGTGGGGAAAAGACTGGAGGTCCAGGTCAGGGCTGGCAGCCTACACTGTGCTGTGCAGGTACTTACTTATCTGTAGATGGTTGGGAGGCTGGGAAGAAGGGTCCCTGATGTGCAGCATTTGCAGATGTCTATGGCGTCATCATGGCTGTCCCCATGGCTGACTTCAAAGACCCAGTATGACATCACAGGATGTAGTAACTCGCCGTCATGTGGTTATTTCCACCTGACATACAGTACACATAAACACCCTGACAGCACAGACAGTGAAACCTAATAAAAGAATTAGGAAGTGATACGTTTTGGGCATTCATTACCTTTATTTTAATGTAATCTACTTAATTACAAATTTATATAGTTTAATTTTTCACGACTGTTTTTACAACGGGCTGCAAAACTGCTGAAACTTCCGCAGTTGCTTCTGGAGCCAACTCCAGGTTGCCACCACTCCTGTGGCTCCAGACCCCAGGAACCGGAGGCGGGGGACCTCGTACGGGGCCTGGCCGTCTGCTGCTCACGCTCTCGTCTCCCTCCTGCAGATCTTCTCCTTCGTCCTGCACACGATCGTGCGAGGATTCATCCACTCTGCTGTCGGGGGCCTGTATGCTGCTGTGTGAGTCTCGGGAGGTCTGGTGGACTAGGGGAAGCAGTGACCTGAGAAGGTGGGACTGAGACCCTGGGGCCAGGCCGCCCTGCCCTGGCAGAATTTGCCTTCCTGCATCAGGGGATAGATGCCAGGGATTTTGCTGAGTGTGTCGGGAAGGCCACACCTGGCAGGAGGTGGGTCAGTGTGCAGACAGTTGAGTGCCCACGAGCCTTGGCATTTAACACGAAGTCAGTTCCTCCCACTGGGCTCAGTGCCCCTGAGTGACACACGAAGGCCTCGGGGCCACTGCTCAGCCAAGTTCTGGGGCCATCCCAGGCTGCTCATTGGAAAGGACAGGGCTAGGTTCTGACTGCCTGGAGCTAAATGCTGCAGTTTAAATAACCCTCAACGGGGACAGTGGTGTGGATAACTGTGCCCGGAATGTACCAGGCTGACGTAACCCAGGGCCTCCAAGGCCTTCGCCTTCCTGAGCTGTGGCTACAGTGAAACCTACATCTTTTTCTAAGAGGCTACGCGGTGGTCCCTCCTTTTTTGGCCCAGGGATTGCCCCCAAGTCTGGAACCCAAATACCCTCATCTGTGTCTCTGACCATGAGGGCGGCTTTTTCCTCCCATGGAGCCTCCCCCACCCCCCGCACCTGGGACAGCAGGTCTTATGTTTGTTGAGATTTAACCCAGAGGTCCCTCCCTGTTCCAACAGCATCCCACGGGGGTCATTTCAGGTCCCCTCTCCCCCTGGAGGAAGTTGTGGCTGCCCTGGCAGGGTGTGCAGGAGGCGAGCAAGAGCTGTGATGCCGAGTTTCCGTGATTACACAATGCTCCTCCGGAGGAGGGCAGAGAAGAGCCAGGCCGAGCCTCCAACCTGCTCCCTGGGCCCGTTTCCCAAGCCACACACTCGCGCTGGCACCACACTTTCCACATAGCTTGGCCAGACACCCTTAGCCCCGGGCACATCTTGGGGAGTGGGGCGTGGGCTTTCCCAGAGTCTGGGGCCTTGTGCTGGTCTGAAAGCCAAAGTGCAGAATTGCCCAGCAGAAGGTAATCCAGAGCCAGCACCCGGCGTCCTGAGACTGCTCCTGTTTGCTTCCTTTAGGGCCCCAAGGTGCTGCGCTGAGCTACCAGCACACCTGGCCCAGGGCAAGGCTGAGGCCAGGTCTGGGAAGCCTGAGAGTGACACTGGCTGAGACAGGTCTCAATTGATCCCACAGGTACCCCTCCACCCAGTTCGGCAGCCTCACGGGACTACAGTCTCTGATCAGCGCACTCTTTGCCCTCCTGCAGCAGCCACTTTTTCTGGCCATGATGGGTCCCCTCCAGGGAGATCCGCTGTGGGTAAGAAGCTTTGGGACATGGTGATAGGCATCCGCTCCAGCTCCACTCTGACGGGGAGCCGGGAGGCCACCTCGCTTGGGGAGCTTCAGAGCTCTGAGGACAGGCAGTTTGCAAACTTTGGTTAGGTCTGAGTCAGGGTGCCTTTGGGAATGGTTGCTAGGCAGGGGAAAAATGGCCTCTCTGGACGTGATTTTGAGATGAACAGAAGACAGAAGGGAGTTTCTAGCCAAGAGCAGTGGCAAATACTTGTAATCCTAGCTACTTGGGAGGCTGAGGCAGGAGAATTGCAAATTTGAGTCCAGCCTGAGCAATTCAGCAACACTGTGAAAGAAACAAAAAAGGACTGGCGCTGTGGCTCAGTGCTCTCTGGGTTTAATTCCCATTGGGGCGGGGGGAGGAGCTCTTGTCGTGGCCCTTGCCAGGGGCCAGGGTTCTTAACCAGGTACCTGCTGCTTGCCAGGGGCCAGGGTTCTTAACCAGGTACCACCAACACCAGTTCCACCTTTGGAACTAGATCAGCAGACCCCGCATGGAGAGGCCGAGGCCCTGAGGGCTGCTGGGTGGTCTGTAGAGAACCAGAAATTCACTTGGATGCTGGAATGAGGACCAATAGGCTCTGAGTCGCAGTGAGCCTTGCTGGTTCATTTTCCCCTTGTGTGTGTGTGTGTGTGCGTGTGTGTGTGGTGGGTGGGCTGGGCCCTGCGCATCCCCAACCCCCTGTGATGGCTGCTCCTCCCTGTCCCCAGGTGAATGTGGGGCTGCTAATCTTGAGCATGCTGGGCTTCTGTCTGCCCCTCTACCTGATCTGCTACCGCCGCCAGCTGGAGAAGCAGTTGCAGCAGAAGAGGGAAGACAGCAAGCTTTTCCTCAAGATCAATGGCTCATCCAACCGGGAGGCCTTTGTGTAGCACCCGCTGGTTCAGAACTATGGCCTCCCGCCTGTGCTTCAGTGACTGACAGATGTCCTCCCCACCCCAGAGGACCTGCACACACGTAGGATTCTCTCCTTCACCATGGCGGAGTCCACGCTTCCTCCAAGGCCCTAGTCCTGCCTCGGAGCTCTGCAGTGGAAGGACAGGAGAGGGCCCAGGATGGGAGACTTTGCTGGACGAAGGACAACCCTGGCTCTGCTCTGCCACCCCCAAGGGACCCTGGGACCTTGGGTCTCCATGGTGCCTGCAGGAGGAGCCAAGGTCACCTCCCAGCAGGCAGGCTCTGTCCCTCAAGGCTCTGGATTCTGCCTCTTGCCAAAGCAGAGGGGCCTGCCATCCACTACCCGCCACCTGCCCCTCGGCCGCATGCCCACCGACCACGCCTGCCTGAGGACAAAGGCTTACACTGTCTGCACCCCCTCGCCTGGCCCCTTACCTCCTCCCCTGGCCAGTCGGCGGCTGTCTGAGGAAGGAAGGACCCGCTTCCTGTTGTTGGTGCTAACCCCTTTGTAATCCCACTCCCCTGTGGCCTGTCCACAGCCTGTCCTCTCATGTGAGTCCTGTGGAGAAGCCCTCCTGGCTCGTAGCCTGGAGAGGGGATGGAGGCAGGATGGTCACACAAAGCCACAGAAGCCATGGACACTGGCTGATCGGTTGTCCCCCACCTCCCCCTGAGGGTGGGGGGAGGGAGTACATTTCCACTGCCACCCTCGGTCCAGTCTGAGACCTGATTTAAGGGAATTAAAGGGGCACCACCAGGACACCCCGTCCCCCAACACACACAGCTGTTTCCGTGGGCCAGGCAGGTAGGAACTCCAGGCCTGCGCAAGAAAGTGGATTGGTCAGGGGTTGAGGGGTGTGTGTTGGGGGGATGTGTGTGTACATGTGTTATGTGTGAGGTGGGGTGGTCTCTCGGGTCTGCCCTTATCCCCACCAACCAGCCAGGCCTGCTGCAGAGCCTGTGTACCTGGAGCCAGCCTTGCCTCATGGTCAGTAGCTTGTCTTGGTCACATAACCACAGCGCCCCCTGCTGGCTGACTCCACTAGGGCCCTGAAGTTGTTTCTGTGGGAGAGGCAAAGCCTCCTTGGCTCACCAACCTGCCCACCTCTATGGCCCTCAGAAGTGTGTCTGAGATCTCCTGTGTGCTCAGAGTGGTGGGTTGATTTCTAGGTCGTTAGTTGTTTTTCTTTTAAGTTTTATCAAACTTCTTTTTATAAAGCAATAAATCCATTTTCCTCCTGGCAAAGGATTCCCCCTTTTAGCATATCAGTTACAGCTGTATGTGCAAGTTTTGAGCTCAAGAGGGAAAGGCAGGACAAGATATCTGCCACTGAGCAGCCCTATCCGTGGCCCTCATCTCTCTGGGTAACCCGCCTGTGGAGGGGCTGGGCCAGGAAAAGACACTCCACCTCTCCCCCAACTAAATTGGCCTTGCAGGAGTGTGGGCCACCCCCTCCTCGAAGACTATCCAGCCAAGTGGGTAATCCCAGCCCTTCCTCATCTCCTACAGGGATTTCCTGTTGCTGCCCCACAACCTGAGGGATCCTCCTATGTAGCACACAGGGTGACCCTGGAAGAACCCCAGGCTTAGAGAAGAGCATCAGGATGTGGTGAGGGACAGAAAAGAGGAGGGGAAACACCCAGGCCAAATTCAAGCACCGTAGTAACAGTCAATCACTGAGTCTTCTAGGCTCCTGCCTGCTGAAATATCAAAAATCACAACCCAAAAATGAAGGATCTGGGGGTATTGAGTCAGTAATAGAGTGAATATTTAGCATGAGCATGGCTCCAGGTACCATCCCAACACCAAAAGAACCCCAAACAAAACAAGAACAGGTGGCGCACGCCTGTAATCCCAGCACTTGAGAGGCTGAGGCAAAAGGATCGCTGTGAGTTCCAGGCCTGCCTGGGCTACATAGCAAGACCCTGTCTCAAAAAAAAAAAAAAAAAAAAAAAAAAACACCCGTTTATGGACATTTTCCAAACCATTTCTCAGAGTACTGATTTTAATGTGTTAATATTTATTGTGGTTTTAGAACTTCATAGCCAAATTTAGGAAATGCTGAGTTAAAGTCACGCCCGTTTCTGTGCAGCAGGCACTGAACACTTTCTCTACAATCACAAGTGCTGTGCCTGTCCAAATGGGTGTAACGTGCTACCAAGGCACCCCATATACGTAGGCCCATGACCACCTGTAACAGAAGCTCCTGGGCTGTCGATCTTTCCTTCGGTTGGCGATTCTGGTCCCTCCAGAGTTTGAGACTCACTCGTGAACAGGGGGACAGTTTGGGGGGACACTTAACTGGCAAGGTCCCTTGCAACCAGGAACATGGGGCCCGGCTGCCCTCCCCTTAGGGTGCAGCACTTTGAGAGAAGATGCTGGCACTGAGAAACTAGAAGTGAGCATGGGAAACTGTCTGTGGCCAGCAGCGTGTGTGGCTGGTGGCATGAGGACGGGAGCCAGGTGCAGAGGCTGTAGAAGGCCAGGTGGGTCGGGAGCTGGTCGCCCCACCCCGACTCCCACAGAAGTAACAGAATCATGGAAACGATCTAGAGCTAAATAGATGCCATCGTCTCCGTTTCACAGTTCGCAAAACTAAGGCCCAGCAAGGTGAGGTAACTTGCCTACGGTCAGAACCAGAGCTCACATGAGGATCTGAAGTCATTGGAGCAGCACAGGCCCTGCAGACCAGGATGTTCCATTTGGAGCAGCAGCCCCAGGATCACCCAGGCCTCTGCAGGGCAACAATACCCCAGGGAGGACAGCAAGCTCAGGTGCCCTCTACTTCTTGGACCCAGAGTTTCCTCTGGGGTATGAGCTCTGCTCAGTAGTGTCATTTGGGCCCTGCAAGCTAATGAGTACTTTTCTGGTCACCCCTCCTCAAGAGGAGTTGGCCATAACCATCGCTTCTGTCTCCCCACCACCACCACCCCGTCCTCCCAAGCCTCTCCTTCCAGCCCTCCTTTTTTTTTTTTTTTGTCTCTTTGAGAAAGGGTCTTGCTCTGCAGTTCAGGCTGGCCTTGAGCTCACTTTGTAGCTCAGGCTGGTCTTGAACTCAAAATGATCCTCCTGCCTCAGCCTTCCAAGTCCTGTGATTATAGGCGTGTGCCACTGGCCCAACAGCCTTTGTTATTGTTTCCTGCAGTCCCTCCAGATCTCTGCCTGCAGCTCCCTCTGCTGGGGCTTGTCCATAGTAAAGGTTCCAGCCCTCATGAAGGTCAGTGAGAAGGTGCAGCCCCTAATGGATGCCTTTTTGTCTGTCCCCTCTCCCTGTCCCTCCTGTACCCAGCTTCCTGCTCAAAAGAATTTCTATGCAAACCCTCCTTGTCATGGCCTACACGGCCCAGGCAGTCTCAGGAGGCCACCACTCTGTTCAAGTCTTCAGGGACTCTGAAAGTAGGGGGACATCCAACCCTGGGGTCCTACTGACAGGACTGTCCCAGATGGAGGCGCGCACACAACTGGCCAAGTGGAGGTTTTGATGCACCTGCACGTCGCGGGCGTGAAGCGGAGCGGAACAGCCGGGGGCAGATGATGCGGGCTGAGGGGCAGGCTGTGGTGCGTGGCTCTGCAGAATCTTCTCAACAGAATTAGGCTCAGGCAACCTTCAGCAGCAACTTCTTCCCCCAAAGAGGGGTACAGTGGGAGCTCATGGGCTCTCAGGGCAGTAAGGAGCTGCATCTGTACCAATGACCAGGCGCCTAGCTTAAGGGTAGTGGTCCATTTCCCCCAAATACCAGCCGTGGGCTATGAGGTTTGGGAGCCTAGACGGTGCTCGGGCTGCACCCTCTCTTGGGGTGCGGGGTCACGGTGAGCATGTGGGCCCCATGAGTCTGGGTCCCCTGCCCTGCCTCACTCTGAGCCCTGGGGTGTGGACAGAGCTTCCCAAGTGTCGAGCTGTCACATCGTCCACAAAGGTGGCCTGCCCTGGGGCTGGCCTGTCCCTGCCTGCCTGGGCCCACCACGTGTGCTTCAGGTCCCTGGAGTTAATCATTCGTATCCTCCTGGGAAGATCCAAGGTGAACCAGGGCCACTGGCAGCTCTCTGACGTTGACCCTTGGCAGAGGGAGGCTCCATTTCTGCGTGCCGAGGAGACGGCAAGGGAAGAGCAAAGGTTGGAGACTACGCCACATATTTTCTTGGTGTTTTTAGACAAGTCATGAGCTTTTGTAAATGGACATAGCTATACCCGCACAGTGCTAAGGGAGCACACAGCTGTGTTCGCATGTGGGCAATAGTGTGGCTCTTACCAGGCATTTAACCATAGCGGGATTGTTTTCATAGCCCTGGAAGAGGGCAGGCAGCACGGGGAAAAAGGCACCCCCTTCACACACACCCATATGACAGGACTCGTACTTAAGGTGACTCTTACCATGGACTTGTGGCCAAGGAAAGAGTGAGGTCTGAAAAAAAGAAGAAAAGGAGGTCTGTTCCTGCTGGCCCTGTTGCCCTCAGGACCTGTCCCTTAGCAGAGCCTTAAGTGTGGCTGAAGTGTGCACCAGCCAAGTATGGTGGTGCACACCTGTAACCGCAGCATTCAGGAGGCTGAGGCTGGACAATCGCTGTGAGTTCAAGACCAGCTTGGGCTACATAGTGAGATCCTGTCTCAAATAAAAAAAGAAAGGTTACTCCCTTGATCATTTTTCCTTTGTCTTTCACATTTTCATAAGAGACTTGGCCAAAGTACATCTCAAGATCATCTCTGAAGAGTGAGCAGATTTATACTGAGTGGGGTGACTCAAATCACAGCCACAGGAAGCCCCCCAGTGCCACCTCCTTGGATACCTGTTTGGCTGTGCCCCTAACCATGTGTGTCTGTGTGTGCATGTCGTGGGTGTGTGGGTGTGTGAGTCTGAGATATATTCTGGGCACATCAGGATGTGTACGTGTTTAGAGGAGTGTGTAGGAGCTTGCTTGTGTGCCTCGCCGCCCAGGAGAGCAGGAAGAAAGGAGCTTACCTCGATGAATCCCTCTCCACTGCGAGAACGAACATCTAGGCAGTCTGGGTCCAGGGTCCAGGGTCCAGGGCCCTGCCCAGGCCTTCGGAGTGGTGTCTGAAGGGATTGATCTGTTCTCTGTGCTAACTAGGGCTCGGTAGTGTCACTGATAACCCAGCAGCTGACCCTCAATTTCCTTGCCCTTTTGCTCTGTCTAGCACCTGGCTTATTCCTTGGCACACAGCAAGCACTCAATAAATGTATGCTGAGAATGACTAGAACTGGTTCTTGCTCTGCTGTTCGTGGGTCTTTTGCTGCCTCTCACAGTCTCTTGCCAGAACTGTGTTCCCAGAGCCCCAGCCCCAGGTCAGGCTGCATTCACTGGTTTGGGCTTCTGCACTGTCCTTAAAGGATGTGCAGTGCAGGCCAGGGTGTGCATGAGAGGCCTCCAGTGCTGGAAGGCCCAGGCTGCTATGGGATCCCAGGTCTAAAAAGGGCTCCCCCTGCCCTCCCTCCTCTGGGGTGCCCACCAAGTGACCACCTCCCACCTCCACCTGCCACCGGGCCCTGGGCAGAAGGGAGAGAGCCCCAGTAAACCAGGAGGGGAGGCTGGGCGTGGTGGCGCACACCTGTAATCCCAGCACTCAGGAGGCTGAGGCAGGAGGATCGTTGTGAGTTTGAGACCAGCCTGGGCTGCAAAGTGAGCTCAAGGCCAGCCTGAACTGCATAGCAAGACCCTGTCTCAAAAAGACAAAAGAGAAAAAAAAAAAATGGAGGGGGAGAGGACTGCCTGCTGGTCCTGCCTGAGGCCTAGCCTCTGACCCCGAGGGGTTTGGAAGACTTGAGATACAGGGGAACGTGAGGATGGTGGGGTAGCCAGGGCAGAAAGTGTTCACAGACGCTGCAGGGCAGAGACGCTAGGCGGATGTGGGACATGGTGGCCATTCCTTGTCACATCTGCAAACTCCAGCTGAGCTCTGCCACATCCTCTGTTGTAACCTTTCATCTCCCTACCTTTGATTAGAGACAACACAGAAAAATATTTCCCCAATCTAAGGGAGCCACAGCCTAAGCTCCGTGGTCATACAAAGCAGCTTGACCTTGGCCTGCCCGTCAGGGACACAATGGGACTTGGTAGGGGCCTGGAGACCACAGACCCCATTGAAGGGGACAGCCTTGAAGAGCTCCCGCCAACTGCTGCCCTGTGGAGATGAACCCCGTGTGGCCAGATCTTCTGATTTTTATTTTTATTTTTCCCAAGAAAAGCTGGAAATATGAGTTCTACATAAAATAGCCCCCTTTCAAATG